CTTCCTCTGCTTCAGTTTGTGCCCGTTGCCCCTTGTCCTGTCGCTGGGCACCACTGAAAAGAGTCTGGCCCCATCCTCCTGACACCCACCCTGCAGATATTTATAAGCGTTTATTAGATCCCCTCACAGCCTTCTCTTCTCCAGGCTGAACAAGCCCAGCTCCCTCAGCCTCTCCTCGTAGGAGAGATGCTCCAGTCCCCTCACCATCCTCGTAGCCCTCCGCTGGACTTCCTTTCCTGGAAGATGCGTGGCAGCACCATCTTCTCGAAGGTAACCGGTGGCGTTGCCTTCCTCTGGCTTGCAGGTCTTGGAGCGCACCAGCTACGCCCTCGTCAGTTGTCTCCCTCGCTGCCGGAGGATGAGCTGCTGCTGCAGCACCTCCTGTGTCACCCTTTCAGTAGCCCCATCACAGCTTGGGCACTAGCCATCGTGCCTACAACTCACACGCATTCATTTTCTAGCGAATTGCATGTGTTGATTTTTTTTAAGTAGAACTTTGCGACTTTAGCAGCAGATCTGCGTGGCGGTGGGTGTTAGCAGAGTGTTACACCTTCGGAGGTAACTTATGAATCTCTGCCCTGGGCGTGGGTGATGTCTTTTGGGTTCAGCCTTGCAGGTCTGGGTGTGCAGACGTTCACTGGTTTGGGTCGGTTGGGATAACCTAGTGAGCGGTTTACCAGTCCGGGGCGCAGAAGGGCTGGAGTTCATTGAAGCAGAGCAGCAGAATTCAAAGGAATAAACAGAACAGTGACGTCAGGCTGCCTTCCCTGGGCACTGCCCGCCATCGCTGAAGGGACGAGCTGCTCTAAGAGGAGAAGGCGCCCGAGCTGAGCGGTTCTCAGCAGGGCTGTAGGGTCAGGTCCCTCACGGCTTCGGCCCCAGCAGAGCCGCGTGGCCAGGAGGTGGCAAAAATGGCTTTTGGGCTCAGCTGGAACCAGGACATCTTAAATGACTCCACATTTGCTTCTTTCTGTTCCCCTCCTTCACTGTCCCGCTTCGTTAAGTCATTGCCTTCCTTCGGGGCCAGCTGACTGCGCCGTTGCTGGATCAGCTGATTTGTTTCTCACCAGTTTAATCGTTACCTGCGTGCTTGCGCTGAGGGTTTCGTGGGGTGCTGCGTGAACCAGTCTGTCCCTCCGGATTGCTTGCGTTTTGGCGAGGGGTTCGCTGCGTCCTGCGCTGGTGGGGTAAGGGTTCCAACGCCCTGTGTGACCAGGCTGCTGCTTCTACGGAAAGATGGAGGTTAAAATTCATCTGCTGCCTGAGAACAAATAAAACCCTTCGCAGCCGTTCCAATCAAAAGGTGGGGGTGGAAGAACCCTAAATATTGCACAGATTAACAGCAGCCCCAGGGCAGAAGCAGCGAATCATTTATCTAGGACATCGGTGGGGGAAAAAATTCTGTGTTTGCTCGAAGTCCCTGGTTGAAATGATTGGTCCCGACTTTTCCCCAGACTTTTTTATTTATACTTCCATTCCTGTTGAGTTCAACAGTTCATCCTTTAGATCGTGCTTTCTCAGGCTGACGAGCTGGGATTGCGGTTGACTTGGATGCCTCATCCCTACCTTTTATCTCCTGCAGTGAGCTAAGCTTGCCCTCTAGGTTGTGACTGAGGCGGGAGCTGAGCGGGGCAGACGTTATCTCATCTTTTCCCATATTTTCTTA